CCCCGTGCTCCCTTCCTTCCCCAAGCCCCAAGCTCTAGGGGGGCTCAGCCAGGAAAAGCCCTGGGGGTGAGATTTTGCTCTACACACCTGGAAGAGCCTTCAGGCTGCTCCCTGTGAGTGTGGGGCACGGGGAACATGGTGCCAGGTGGTGAGATTGCCTGTGCAGGGAGGCAGGGGCGGGGCCTCTGGGGCCAGGACTCGGCAGCGTGGTGGCCGGTTGTGCTTCTGCTTGAATGAGGAGCTCCTCTAAGGGGCCGCATTTGAACGTTTTGGGCCCAAACCCCTCCCTGAGCAGCTCCAGCCATTCCCAGGCTTCCGTGTCCCTCTGGCCATCAGAAATCCTCCCCAGAACAGGGAAAGCTCGGAGGGAAAGAAACACTCTGTTTTCTTTGTGCACTTTTCACTCTGTGACCAATTAGTTTATTTCTTCATCTGAGCTTTTCATTGGCTCAAGTGCTGCCACCAGGCCTCTGAGTTCTCCCGTAGAGAGCAGTTGCCATGGAGACACAGGTCTACTTGGTGCAACTCATTTTGACTGCTGCCAGCCGCTTCCCATACGGCCAGCCAACCCTGGGGGGAAAGCCTCTCCCCAGACCAGCCAGATGTCAGATGGTGAGAACACGGGGTTGCCAGCCTCCAGGGGGGCCTGGAGATCTCTTGCTAGTCAGTTGGAGATCAGTTCCCTGGGAGAAATGGCCGCTTTGGGGGGGGGGACTCTATGCCCTTGCACCCTGCTGAGGTCCCTCCCCTTCCCAAACCCCACCCTCCTCCCCAGGCTCCACCCCCAAAATCTCCCGGTATTTCCTAACCCAGAGTTGGCAACTCTATGAGAATATCATGAGGGTATTTCCCTGTTCTGGTCCAGTATTTTCATTGACTGTCGGGGGGGAAACTGGAAAAATACCAGGCCTTTAAATTTCAGGGGTCCCCCCCCACACACACACAGTCAGTGAAAAGACTGGACTCTCCAGGTTGGCTGGGAAGGGACCTTAGCAGTGTCCTTTGTGCTGTTTGGGTTTGGAGGAGGCAGCGCCGAGCCCGGGGGCCCTGCAGCAGCCAGAGCAATTGCAGTTTCTTGTCGGGCTCTGCATGTCTGGTGCTTGTGATGGGCCGTGGGACTCAATGGCAAATGAGGTTGAGACCTGCCAAGCCAAAGCAGAGGAAGAAAGAAAATGGTTCTGAGCAATGTTCCCTCTAAGCTGTGGAGTCTTGTGAGCAAAAATTCTGCTTTGTGAGCTACTGGCATAAAAATTGTGAGCAAGCGATTTGGCTACTGCATAAATCAGTTTGCTCTGAAGCCATCCTCCCTGAGCTGAGTCAAAAATCTGTGAGCTAACTCACACTAACTCAGCTTAGAGGGAACACTGGTTCTGAGCACAGCAGCATGGAAACAACTTACATGTGCAAAAATTAACTGATAACGGGAGGAGCCGGTCTCTGAGGCTTGGGGGGAAAGGAAAAGGGGGTGAGAGGCCCTTGCAGGACAGTCCTCGCATTGCTTGCAGGGTGGGCTGCAGCAGCTATTTCTTGTTCTAACATGGTCCTGCCAAACTCCATGGAGGCGTCCTATGAGGGCCCAGCAGCACATACAGTGTTCAGAAGGAAAGTATAGAATCTTTTTATGTCTCTTGCATCTTGAGTCCACAGTCTGTGAGTTGAAACTGGATTTTTTAAAATAATTAAAAAAACAGCCTAGAAATCTTTCTGTCGCAGTAACGGCCATCTCTCTGTTTCTGCCCAGTTGCTGATTGTCTGACAGGCACCTACCTCTTCCTCCTGGGCCTTTTTGACCTCAGGTTCTCAGGGGAGTACAACCAGCACGCCCAGGCCTGGATGGCGAGCCTCTCCTGCCAGCTGGTGGGGGGCCTGGCCCTGCTGTCCTCTGAAGTCTCCGTCCTGCTGCTCACCTACATGACCCTGGAGAAGTACCTGTGCATCGTCTTCCCCTTCCGCTGCTACGGGGCAGGGAAGAGGCAGACCCTTTGCGTGCTGATCGCCATCTGGCTTCTGGGCTTCGGTCTGGCGCTGGTCCCGCTCTTGTTTTTCAAGAACTACTATGGCACAAACGGAGTATGTTTCCCTCTCCAGTCGGATGGGGCAGAGAGCCCGGCTGCCCGGGGATATTCTGCAGGGATCTTCCTAGGTAAGGGCTCATCAAGATGTTCTGCTTGTGGCTTCTCTCTAAGCTGTCCAGGGGAAGGATGGAGAGGCCAAGGGTGGGGAAGGCACACAGAGGTGCCAATCAGAGCCCGCGTGTGCCAGGTCACAATCAGCACATGGCATAGAAATCATGACGAGTGACCCATCAAGTGAGCCAGCCGAGGCCACAATGGGCAGCATAGAAATTTAAAAAAACAACCCCAATGTGCACGGGGTGGGGAAGGGGTGGGAGAACGTTGAAGCACATCAGGACCCTGGACCGACAGCCTGTTTGTGCACATTAAATATGTACATTTAGTGCACATGTTCCATTAAAAAGCAGCACAATGCCAAGTGGTTGGCCGTAATAGTTGTACCAGTGTGGTGGATGTCATTGGGCTTGGGTGGTCCTTTCAGTGACTCACAGCCACGTGGTAGAGAATTGGCTGACCTCCACCCTACTGGCATGGCTCAGACACATATTCTTCAAAGAGTTTCATGCATATTGTCTGGCCATAATATTCACATTGGCCCCATCTTGCAGAGGAGAGGGTGACTTGCCTGACAGCTCCTCATGAATGGAACCAAGGGCGTCCCTATCCCTACCATTCAGGGAGAGGCTGTGGCTCAGTGGCAGAGCCTCTGCTTGGCCTGCAGAAGGTTCAATCCCTGGCGGCATCTCCAGTTATAAGGACCAGGCAGGAGGTGACGGGAAAGACCTCCCTGCCTGAGACCATGGCGAGGGAGCTGCTGCCAGCCGGAGTGGACAAGACTGGCCCCGATGGACCCCAGGGGGCCTGATCCGGTGGAAGGCAGCTTCACGCGTGTCCATGTGAGTCTCAGGTGCTGCCCTGTGTGCCAGCTCTCCAGCTTGCACCACTCTGTGAGTAACAGGCTGGACACCAGTGAAGAATTTTCCTGTGGCAGCCGAGTGCTGCTTCCTGAGCGGCTGGCCCTGGCGCCTCCCTCCTGCGCAAAGACTCCCTGAGTCCCTGGCCACTGACGGCTTAGGACTACGTGCCTAGCAAAGAATCACACAAAGTTGGACGGGGTCCTGGAGCCGATCTAGTCCAACCCCCTCTTCAGTGCAGGATCGGTGCAGGACAAGTGTTTGTCAATGCCTCCCTAGCAATTCTCCCTCTAACCTGTGGTGGAGTCTTGTGAGCAAAAAATCTACTTTGTGAGCTACTAGCATTAAAGTTTCGAGCGAGCGATTGGGCAACTGCATAAATCAGTTTGCTCCGGAGCCCTCCTTCCTGAGCTAAGACAAAAATGTGTGAGCCGGAGGCTAAAAAACTGTGAGCTAGCTCACACTAACTCAGCTTAGAGGGAACACTGCTCCCTAGGAAGCTGATTCCACTGTTGTGCTAGGAACAAAATTGTCTGAATATAAATGAGGCGGAGTCAGGATGAAGGTTATAACTCTTTACTAGTAAAGGGAACTCTCAGGAGCTCGTCGTTAGTTGCTTTACAAGTCTTTTTATAAGATCATCACACAGTTACATTTGTCAAGAAACCCTATCACTGGTTCCCAGTGGTTCAATATCTCGCAGGTGAAATCATCCCAAAAAGTAAACACCTCCAGAACTAATTGTACTGACCTGATGTATGTAATGTTAATTCCACAGTTATCCTGTAGATAGTGATAGCACTCTGCTTTTGTTGTTAAGCTTCTTGTTATGTATTGTTACACTCTCTGAAAAAATAAAAAAAATTGAATTTAAAAAAAGAAGAAGCCGTCTCCCCAGCCGCCACATAGTCCCTCTCCATAGCCTACTGGTGGGGCATCAGGAGGTACAGACTTTCCAAAACACACCTACCCATAGATCTCCCACCCCCCATCATTACAAAGCCCCCCACTTATGTTCATAACAGTTCCTAATATGGTTTTGCTATACACACATTCTTGCAAGACGTAAGCAGCTCCTATCTTGTTGCTAAGTATTGTGGTTTTGATATAGGTTGTAAAAGCCCCGGCCAGTTCCTATTTTCCTATAGCAGATAGGTACTTTCCACAGTCTGCCTCGCAGTTCGCTAGTAGTTCCTGTATGTCTTGTTGCAGTTTTGGCAAGCAATCCTTTAGAGGCTTGGCAAAGGGTTTTTTATAAAAAATGAATCTTAAAAATTAAAATATATGTTGTATAAGAATAAAAAAGGTTTTCTTTAAGCAAAATATAATCTTATTCTCCCTACAGTTGCACCACTCTTACTCTAAAAAGTTTTTCCTAATAACCCATTACTGCGAGTCCTATCCTCTGCTGCCAACAGCAACAGCTCCCTACCCCCCTCTAAGTGACAATCCTTCAGATACTTAAAGAGAGCAATCATGTCCCCTCTCAACCTTGTCTTCTCCAGACTAAACATTCCCAAATCCCTCAGCCTTTCCTCATGGGGCTTGGTCTCCAGGCCCCCAATCATCCTCATTACTCTCTTCTGCACCTGCTCCATTCTGTCCACATCCTTTTGAAGTGAGGCCTCCAGAACTGCACACAGTACTCTAGGTGTGGCTTGACCAATGCAGTGTACAGCAGGACTGTGACATCTTGTGATTTCGATGTTATGCCTCTGTTGATACACCCCAAGATTGCATTAGCCTTTTTTGCTGCTGCAACACACTGACTGCTCATATTTAGCTTACCCCAAGATCTTGTTCACACTCACTGCTACTCAGAAGTGTGTCCCTCATCCACTATGCATGCTTGCCGTCTGCAAATTGAATGAGTAGCCCTTCCAGCCCCTCATCACTTATAAAAATATTGAAAAGTACCAGGCCCAGAACTGAGCCCTGTGGCATCCAACTGGATATCTCCCTCCATTCAGAAGTTATGCCATTGACAACTATTCTTTGGATACAGTTCTCCAACCAGTTCCCTCTCCACCTAACTATTCTAGAGATCAGTTCACAATCCTCCAGTTTACCCATCAGAACACCGTGGGGGACCTTGTCAAAAGTTTTACTGAAATCAAAGTAAATGTCAGTGGCATTCCCACAATCCTGTAAACTCATCACTCAATCAAAGAAGGAGATGAGGTTGGTCTGGCAGGACTTGCCCAGATCACCAAGTTGTCCTTCAGATGATCACAGAATGACCCCTTTAAAATCTGCTCCAATATCTTCCCTGGGACAGAGGTCAGACTGGCTGGCCTATAGCTTCCTGGGTCATCCCTCCTATTTTTTTTGAAGATTGGGATTACTTTTGCCCACCTCCAGGCTTCTTGGACATCCCTTGTCCTTCTGAGCCTTGGCCTGTTACGTCTAATATGGCAAAATGGGGGCACTGGATAACTAGTCAAGCTGCTCAAAGAGGGCAGCATCCACCTCCTCTCTCTGGTAAGGAGGACTGTAGCAGAATCCAACCACAAAACTGTTTGTTCTTCATTCCCTTATCCTCATTTAGATACTGGGCTGCCGTCCGCCTCCTCCAGTATTTCCTGAGAACAGAAGATTTTTCTTCACTTACCATGAAGCAGTCCTCACTTCTCAGATAAGACTCCTCCTCTCTGGAAGCAGGGTCAACCAGCTGACTTTGATCCCAGAGGGGAGGAGCTTGTCCCAGGGATCTCCAGTCTGTCTCTAAGCCCTGACTCACCCAACAATACCAAGAGAGAGAAAACTCCTCCCTCAAACTTTCTTAGTGCAGAAAAAACCATAACAGGTTATAAACCCTAACATGAATTCCAATAAACGCTTTAGCACTAACTATTCAGACTATCCTCAGTCAGAGGTTTTACACTGAAGTCCCCCCCCCCGCCAACTACTGGGAGGCACTACCAATGTCAGGTTCAACAGCAAGTAAATCTCCACACACGTTTCCAGGGAAGCGTTATCCTTTATTAGACTACAGGTCTGTTACCATGTCCACAAGATTATTGTTAGGAATGACCATGGGGCAGAAACATCCCTACATATAGCAGGACTAGAAATAAGGCCCGTTGTGGAAATAAATACAACGAGATCTAGAAAGAGGCTCTGGGAGAGTGCTCTGGCTTTGGGCAAACAGTGTCAATTTGCTGTGGTGACCTCAGCAGGGTATAATGACAGAGTCCACCATTTTCTCCAGAGGAACTGATCTCTGCTACCTGAAGAGCTGTTGTAATTTTGAGTGATCTCTAGCCCTCACCTGGAGATTGGCAACAATTGTTACCTAGGATGAAATGGCTGGTTTGGAGGGTGGAGTCTATGGCATTCTACCTGCCTGAGGTCCCACCCTCTCCAGGCTCCACCCCTCAAATCCCCAGGAATTTGCCAGCCTGGAGTTGGCAACCCCATCTCCTTCCCAGCTAACCATCAACCTACCATTATCTGCCCCTTTGACTTCAGCTGACTTCTACCCTCCCTTCTGCAGAGCAGTTGTAATTCCGAGTGGTCTCCAGCCCTCACCTGGAGATTGGCAACAATGGTTCCCCATGAGGGACTGACTGGTTTGGAGGGTGGAGTCTATGGCATTGTACCTGTCTGAGGTCCCACCCCTCTTCAAACCTCACCCTCTTCAGGATCCATCCCTCAAATCTCCAGGAATTTCCCATCGGGAGTTGGCAACCCTATCAGGATTGGCCCAACTATGTTTTCTCCCAAAGGCCAAAGTAGGTGACTGGACCAAACTAAGTTGCCTACCATCAGGCACTGAGGGGAAAGTAGGGTTGCCAGCTATAAGGAGGGAAATACCTGGAGTTTTGGGGGGTGGATTCTGTAGAGGGCAGCATTGGGGGGGAAGGACAGGTCCCAATGTGTTTTCTCCCAAAGGCCAAAATAGGTGACAGGACCAAGCTTAGTTGCCTACCAACAGGCACTGAGGGGAAAGTAGGGTTGCCAGCTCTAAGGAGGGAAATACCTGGAGATTTGGGGGGACTGATCTCTGTCATCTGGAGATCAATTGTAACAGCGGGGGATCTCCAGGTCCCACCTGGAGATTGGCAACCCTAGGGGAAGGTCAGCTGCACAGCAGGGGGTTGAAGAGAATGGTTTGATGGCTGCTGGGCCAAGATTGGCAACAATAGTTCCCCAGGAG